ACATCGGTATATTTTAACGTGCGTCGATGGATTTTCAAAATACGCGTGGGCCATCCCGTTGAAAAATAAAACGGCCAACGAAGTTACCGCAGCCATGAACGGAATACTGAAACATGGTCGTCATCCTAAGCTTTTGCAAACGGACAATGGTAAAGAATTTTACAATAAACAATTTCAAAAACTGATGTCACAATACGCAATCAATCATTACTCTACTTATTCCACGATGAAAGCGTGTCTAGTGGAACGTTTTAACCGCACGCTGAAAAACGCAATGTGGCGTGACTTTAGTGCACGTGGCTCGTACAAATGGGTGAATCGGTTGTCTGCGCTGTTGCACGACTACAATAACGTGCGTAAACATAGAACAATCGGTATGACACCGGTGCAAGCGGTGAAAAACCCAGACCTGGTTCGGTTCAAGTTGCGTCAAATACCGGATAATTTATCGGTAAAATTCCGTGTGGGAAACAAGGTGCGGATAAGTGTACCGTAAGCCCGCGTGTCAACTCTGTTGTCGAGCGTTTAGCGCTTATCGTCGAAACGGTTAAGCGCCAACTTGGTTGTATGTAAAGTGCGTACATACGTTTATTTAAAAACAATTTTTTTTTTTTTTAAATAAACGTATGTTGCATTGACAAAATAGTGCTGTTATTATTATATACTGAGACATAGTGAAAATCTCGTNGTGCTGTTATTATTATATACTGAGACATAGTGAAAATCTCGTTTTTAACGTAACTTGTAATTAAAATTATAATGGATACAAAGACTATAAATACGTTTAAATAATAATGTTTAAAATAATGATTATTATCTAGCATTTTAATTCTATCATATGAAAAAACTATGTTTCTATAAAACTCAAATCATTTTTCTTCTTCAGAAAGGTTAAAACATGAGAAAAAAAACGTTGTAGTATATATATATTTACAGATATGTACACGCATATACATATATTTTTTAGAAAAAATACAATTTCTTTATCATTAAAAAAAAAAAAAAAAAAAAAAAAAAAAAAATTTTGACG